GGGCACCTGTGGTCCCAGCTACTTGGGAGGCTGAGGCAGGAAAGTCGCTTGAGCCCAGGAGTTGGAGGTTGCTATGAGCTGTGATGCCATGACACTGTACCCAGGGGGATAGCTTGAGGCTCGGTCTCAAAAAAATAAAAAAAATAAAAAATAAATAAAGTGACTTGTCTTATATCTTTCACTTATTGAACAGTTTTATTTAATCCTCTCTCCTTTACATTGGCACCTTAACAATCCTTCCAGCTACGTATCTTAAAAGATGTGATGGAGAAGTTATCAAATGGTGTTTTTAGGTATGCTAAAGTAACCAAATCATTGTATTTATCTTGTTATTCTCTTTTTTCCATTTTTGTTTCAGCTCTCACAGTGTACCTGTTGTCTCCATATTTTACTAGTTTAGATAAATAGCTGCTGTTCTTTACTGTTGTCAAAGTGTATCTGGTGGTACGCCAATTACTATGTTTCCCCGAAAATAAGACCTACCCAAAAAATAAGCCCTAGCAGGATTTCTATGCATTTGTTAAATATAAGCCCTACCCCATTATAAGACCTAGTGATGGGCATGGCTATGCAGCATATCTGCATAGCCACGCCCTACATTTCTGCAAGGGGTAAGGAAGACTGGAATACCTTTTATCTGTCACAGCTCCTTTCTCCAAGCCGTTAGCACTTACACAGGTGCGCGTGTGGTAACCGAGGTCGCAGGCATCCTATTGCGCACGGCTAGGGGAAAGGAGTTCACGCATCACCAGCACCAGCCCCACCAACAAGGAAGGCTCCTCCTGTCAGTTTCCAAAGAAGATGACTTAACTGTATTTGAATGAATGTAGACTGTTGTATTATACTTCATAAAAATAAGACATCCCCTGAAAAAAAGGCCTAGTGTGTCTTCTTGAGAAAAAATAAATATAAGACAGTGTCTTATTTTGGGGAAACATGGTAGTATTCCCAGAGACAGAAGAAACTTGAGTTTCCCTTACTCCATTCCATATTGCACCTCACTGGTTTTCCTCATCACTCCTCCCAAAGCAAAGGAAAATGGCCCCTAGCTTTAAAAGAGGAAAAAGTACACTGTTTTTTTTCACTTTCAAAAGAGGGAATAAAATGGGTATTTTTCTCTTCAAAACTTAATCACTTCTAACAGTAGAAAACTTATGAATATTCGAATTATTTAAAGTAACAGAAATGAACTGTAACAATTGTCATCTACTACCCTTTGTGTTCTACTCATTTTTAACTTCAAACCTGACATTTCTAATAATTTCCTTCTTCCTTAGACCTCATATGGATGAAGCCATTCCACTGTACGAGGCAAAAGTTTCCATGGAAATTGTTCAGAAAAATCAAGGAAGAAAAAAGCAAGTTGTTCAATTTTAATTTTCTTCTTTCTCAGACCTCAGTTGGATGAACCTATCCCATATTTGAAGCCACAGTTTTCCTTGGATATTGTTGAGAAAAATCAAGGAAGATAATAGCAAGTTCTGCTTGTAAGCATGTTTTCCTGCTAAGACAAGATGCTCAGTTATATGACACATTTGAAAACTATTTGAAAAATTATTGTTTGGACGATCAAGATAATCGTATAACATGTGAAGGGAATAGTCTGAAAACCTTTTTAGTTATTGTTTCTATATACATTTTGCCTCTGCTATAACATTCTTTCCACGAAGAAAACTGCTTTCAGCAAAAGCCACACTACTGATAAAGCTGTTACAGGCCTTTGCTAAACTATCAAAATAATGTTATTAATTTGTTATTAATGTTATTAACATCAACTATGTTCTCAACACTTTCCTTAACTAGCCTTTGCTGTCATAATTTAAGCATTTGAATATATTTTCAGATCTCAAAGGATCTAGCCCATAGGCACTTAAGTATTGTCTTTCCAAATATTCGTTCATCCAGGGTTTCCCTAGGATCTAACAAGAGGATTACAGTAACTCACCAGTGGCACTGGCAGTGTTTGCAGGGAGGGCTGGGATGGCCAGGCATTGGGAAGGAGGAGGGGAGGATTGTTGGGACCGACCCGTTTATCTAAGTTCTCCATTTTGAGGAGGTTGCTGGAGGAGGTCTAGTCCTCGCTCCACATCTCTTGGCTGAGCCCCAGCCCCTGCCCGCTAAATTTGCTAAAGCAGGAGACCATCACGACAGTTCAAGTACTGTTTCCTTTCCATCCAAACGCCATACCCTGGGGTGATCACATCCCTCCTTCAGGCTTAAATAGCGGTCAGCTATTTTGGTGCCTAACGGAGTAGTGTACACCAGTCCATGCTTTATCCAGCGTGGCCACAGTTAGCTCCTGGACTACCGCCGACGACCTGACAGCGGCGCCAGGGTGGGGTCACCTCCGGGGCAGGGGGCGGGAGCCGCCTCCGAGAACTCATCGAAGGCCGGGGCCTCGCGGGCGCCTGTCGCGCATGCGCTGTCGGTCGGCACGGGGGGGCGGGGCCGGCTGGCGCTCGGCGCCCCCACGTCGGGGGCGGGGCCGGCGCGCGCGGGAAGTGCTTGCGGGCGGGCGGTCGGCGGCAACGCGTTATGGCCCTGTTGGTACCCGGCTACTCGCCCAGTTTCAAAAAGCCGCCCGAGCTATTGCGGCTCCGACGGAAAAGGACCCGGAACCATGGGGCCGCTGTCTCCTCGCCTCCTGAGCTGCCCGAACCGGCGCCTCGCCGCGCTGCCTTGGCGGCCGGGCTGCCCCTCCGCCCCTTCCCGGTCGCGGTAGGCAGAGGCGGCGCCGGGGGCCCTGCCACTGCCCGAAGGAACCCTTTCGCTCGCTTGGACAACCGGCCGTGGGCTGCCGCGGAGCCCCCCGACGGGCCGCCTGGCGGCCAGCAGGAGGCGCTGGGCCCGGTGAGTGCTCGAGCCTGACAACTGGGGCTCTCGTTTTCCGTGGATTAACCTAGGTGTGAAGTCAGGGGTAAAAGGGTCTCGCGTTCCAGGTGAGGAAATGGGCGCGAAGAATTTGGGCCACCTGTATCCTTAGGATGCCTTGTATTGCGAGCAGGGCCTCTTCTGAAAAGTGGGATCTGTGAGCAGTGCACCCCGCAAGCTGCTTCGGTGCAGGGTGTGCTCACCTGGCGCGTCGTCGCGTTCGGGGGAAGGTGAAGGGCGCTGGCTTGGGCCACACCGCTGGAATCTAACTCAGAGCCCTCTCTAGAGGACTTAGAGGTACATTGGAAGATCAGCCAAAAAAAAAAAATCGTTGTTAATCCTGGCAGGCAGCTGTATGATGTGGCAGGTTACAAGACCCTGCTTTCCCACCGTGATTCAGGGGCTTCTGTCATTCAGAATTATTCCTGGGATGGAAGAATTTTGATTCATGGGGGTCAGAATTTACTAGCATTTGCCTTTCCACAAAACCTTTTGGATTTGAAACACCGTCCTTTCCTTCCTTCATTTTGATATTAAAGTTCAGACAGCGGCCAGGCGCGCTCAACGTCTGTAATCTCAGCACTTTGGGAGGCCATAGTGGGAGGATCACTTGAACCCAAGGTTCAAGGCCAGCCAGAACAGCCTGGACAACATTAGCAAGATTTTTGTCTCTAGAAAAAATAAAGTTAGCCAGGTATGGTGGTGTTGGCCTGTAGTTCTGAGCTAATTGGGAGGCTGAGGCATAAGATTGTTTGAGGTTGAGGTTAGAGTGAGCTATCATGCCACTTTACTCTAGCCTGAGTGACATAGTCAGATCCTGTCTTCTAAAAATAAAGTTCAGGCACAAAACTTAAGTGAAACTCTGATAGATTGATTTAAATTTGTATGACTATGGATGCACTAGCATTTACTGCGAAACATGTATGCCACATGAGGCTACACATACATGGATATTGACAGCAAACTGCAACATCATTTCAGTTACAACAGACATTTTTTTTAAACCTCAGTTTTTAGATTCTCATCAAGAAAATGATTTGCTATGGGAAGAGACATTGCCTGAAAGACAAACTGTTACTCAGTTACCCCAGGTAATGCGTCTTAAATATTAAATATTAGAGTGTGTATTTTTATAACTTTATACTTCTCATAAGTATTTTCCTTGGAAAGTAATTTTACAGAGAAGCTTGAGAGTGATCATCTCTACCAGGGATGAAAAGATGGCATCAGCTAAGGTAAAGGACTTGATTGGGTACAGTAGTGATCTCTATAATGGCAACCAACACTAAAAGAGACCTACTAGATGTGTGTTTTTTCTTCTACCCAAGAGTTTTTAACTCTTGCCCTCTTTTTGAGTAGTTGAATCCTCCAGGTCATCACTGAGAGACAGCCCTTCCGGGTTCAGGTATTTTTTTGAACTTTGTCCTTTACCAGATCTTCAAACCAAATCCCAAATTAGCACCACAGGTTGTGCATAGGATTGAGGTTCATTTCCCCAGCATGAACAGACTTCTACCCTCACTCCACTTCTGTTGTAAAACGTACTTTGATAAATGCATACTTTATCCTAATGGGCTAGGAGAGTTCCCCAAGGCCCAAAATAAATGGGCTTTATATGGTCTATTGGAGATAATTCCCTCTTTCCTGATATTTTGTTGTAATACTACCGAAAAGAATCCTTGTAGTAGAAAATTGACTGAAAGGACAGTAAATAAGTTGAGGGAAAATATTTAAGGTCAGGGAATGTTTCCTAAATGGAGGCTTTTAAAGACCTTCTGTAAGTTACCTGCAGAAGCAGCAACTTATTCCATGTCTGGAAGTTCAGAGGCCTAAATGGTGTTTTTTAAACATGCAGAAGATTTCTCATTTTTTAGCAACATCTATAGTACTGTAAAGAACTGTGTAAACTAAAAACTAAAATGTGCCCCTCTCCTACTGCCACCTCCAACAACAAGAAGTAACCACTGTTAAATGTTTAATGTGGAGGCTCCGTGCCAGTAGCTCAGTGGTTATGGCTGTGGCTGGCAGGTTCAACCCCATCCCAAGGCCTTCTGAAAACAAGTGACAACTACAACAAAAAGTAGCCAGGCATTGTGGCAGGTGCCTGTAGTCCTACTTGGGAGGCTGAGGCAAGAGAGTCTCTTAACCCTAAGAGCTTGAGGTGGTTGTGAGCTGTGACGCCACAGCACTCTGCAGAGGGTGACAGAGTAAGACCCTTTAAAAAGTTCAATGTAGGCCGGGGCCTGGTGGTTCAGCCTGTCATCCTGGCACTCTTGGAGTCTGAGGCGGGTGGATTACCTGAGTTCAAGACCAGCTTGAGCCAGAGCGAGACCTTATTTATAAAAATACCTAGGCATTGTGGCAGGCGCCTGTAGTCCCAGCTACTTGGGAGACTGAGAGAATCGCTTTCTTAAGCCCAAGTTTGAGGTTGCTGTGAGCTGTGATGCCACAGCACTCTATGGAAGCAACAAAGTGAGACTCTTGTCTCAAAAAAAAAAGTTTAATGTGGTTGCTTTCAGACTTTTCATAATGTGTATTATATTTTTAATGTTATTGTATAGTTTATATAATTTTGACTTCTTAGTCATCATTACTGTGTTAGGTAATAAAATCTTTAGGTTAAAGAGAGTGAAGATTTTTCTTGGTACTCTGCTAATTTTTTGTCTCCTTTTCTCTTTTATAAAAGACTCCCCACATAGTATTCTCCGATTCTGATATTCCATCCTCAGAAAATACTGAGTTACCTGTGGACTGGAGTATTAAAACTCGGCTCCTTTTCACCTCTTCTCAACCCTTTACCTGGGCAGAGCATTTGAAAGCACAGGAAGAGGCCCAAGGTCTCATCCAACATTGTAGGGCAACTGAAGTTACTTTGCCTCAAAGTATACAGGTAATTTTGAAATAGCTATGTGTTAAAGTAACAAATTAAGTATAAAATGTTCTTCTTTTTGTGATATTCCAGAAACTGCTTTCCATTAACTTTCTCCCTTAAGACTTGGGAAATTTTGTTTTTCCCAAGTAGCATTTTTTATGGTTTTTTGAATTTAACTGCCCATTCAGTTTAGAAACCTGTCCTGAGGATTAATTAGTTTTGCAGGCAGGAATTATTTGAATTAAACCATTTTTTTCTAAAGGTTTTTGAGAAAGAAACACAAGGAAAATAAATGAAAAGCAATTGAGTGGAATTGCAAGAATAGATGGCTTTTACTGGTTTTCTTATATTGATATGTACTTTGTTTTTTTATACACATTGATTTTTGCTACCTCTCTAATGATCTGTTGTAAATTTAGTGGAAGAAGTGAATTCTAGAATGGTTTTAGAGAAATATGATGTGATTATTTTGAAGTGTCCCATTAACTCAAACTAGATTAAAAAGGATTACCTAAAAGAGGTCTTTTTACGTACATCTTTTCAATAAGATAAATCGGGATAATTTCTGATGCACCTTATTAATGTTGATTGACTACTTTTGAAGCAGTGTTTTGGTAGGGGTGAAGTGGTGGGGTGTTGAACATAATGTTACCAGCCACACACACACCTCCTTAAGATAAAAAAAGATAGTCATTGTTTTCAGGAATGGTAGAGACAGGGGAATTCCCACATGCATGTATGTTTAAGTGTTCTTCCTGCTACATGGTCTAACAGACTGTAAATTTCTGACCAGAAAGTTTTCCCTAAACTTCTTAACTCCTCTAGCAGTGCTTAATGCTTTACTATATGTAGTAGAAAGCAATGAAGATTCATAGATTAAATGTTTAGTATATTCAGTGTTCCTTTAATGAAATTCTGTTTCTCATGGGGCAAAACCTACCCACTGTCACTTCTGGATTTTAGGATCCCAAACTCTCCACTGAACTCCGGTGTGCCTTCCAACAGAGCCTTATTTATTGGCTCCACCCTGCCTTCCCTTGGCTACCACTGTTCCCTCGTATTGGAGCTGATAGGAAAATGACTGGAAAGACAAGCCCATGGTCAAATGATGAAACCCTACAACAAATTTTAATGAGTGACTGGTAAGATATGTTAAAACAAACAAAACTTGTGTAACTTATGAATTTTCATCTTAGCAGTATTCTCTCCTTATATTTTATGGTGTGGATGTGCATAGTAATAGAAAGATTATCTACATCTTTCTGAATTTTGTTTCTACCTATAAGCAACATTTAAACTGTTTACTTTTTATAAGCTCTTATTCACTCTTTATCCAATTGTAGAATATGTATGAGTATCATAAATACATACAAACATCATTCCTTAAGTGACTTCTTGTCAGTCATTGCTTTTCTTATCAGCAGAAGTTGCTCAGAGAAAGTCAGCAACCAGTTATCAATTGAGATTTATTTAAAGAAAAAATGATCAGTGTTTTAGGTAGTAAACATTGTTGAAGTTTGGAGAAATCATTAGCATTTCAATATTACTTATTTTAGTCCTTTATGACTAAATTTTACATAACCACAGAAATTCAAACCACTGTCTGAAATGTTTGTATTATAGGTTAAACCAGGTAATTAAACGGAATTATACAAAGTTATATTTTAAACGAGTTAAATGTTTAATAATTGCCAAAGAATATTTTTTGCTTCTCAGGTCTGTGAGCTTTACTTCTCTCTATAATCTGCTGAAGACAAAACTTTGCCCCTATTTCTACGTTTGTACCTATCAGTTTACTATCCTATTCCGAGCAGCAGGATTAGCAGGAAGTGATGTGATCACAGCTCTCATATCTCCTACAACTCGAGGTTTAAGAGAAGCTATGAAAAATGAAGGTAAAAGTTTAGGTTTATAAGACTATATAGAAACATTTGCATTAAAGTTTAAAAGCTGAAATTTGAGTCATCTTTTATCAATTATTACTTTAAGAAATATATTATTTCTTGGCTCAGCAGCTGTACTTCAGCAGCTAGGGCCCCAGCCACATACACCAGAGCTGGCAGATTTGAACCCAACCCAGGCCTGCCAAACAATGACAACTACAACCAAAAAGTAGCCAGGTGTTGTGGCGAGCACCTATAGTCCCAGCTACTTGGGAGGCTAGGGCAAGAGAATCACTTAAGCCCAAGAGTTTGAGGTTGCTGTGAGCTCTGATGCCACAGCACTCTACTGAGGGTGAGAAAGTGAGACTCTGTCTCAAGAAAAAATATGTATGTATTATTTCTTTATTTTGGGTTTTTTCACCTATTAAGTTGTTCCTAAAGTATACCTTTAAGTTAATGGTCACCTGTCCTTTGGTCTCTAAAATAAAACATGTATTGGACCAGGAAGTCATTGTCTGAATAGACTCTTCTGGAAATTTTTTTATAGTATAAATTAGACGTTAAATAACATTTTCAAACTTGGTCAGCCCATTAGTGGATCATTAAATCATTTTAAAAATGTTGATTGGGACTACTAAATCAACTGGAATACAATAGGATGTATAAAAGGTATTATCACTTGTATGTATTGAGTGTACATATTCTTTTGTTTCTAGATGTCTGTGTATTCATAGGTTTATGTGTTGTGAGCTGCTATTAAGCAAGCTTGAAAACTACTGCCTGAATAGATTAAATGTAAAAACTCACATTTCACATTTTTTACACTCTAAAACTAGGGTATATCTGTTAAATACTTTTTTAAAGAACTAAGTTAAATTTTTTTTTCTCATGTAGGTATTGAATTTTCTCTGCCTTTAATAAAAGAAGGTGGCCGTAAGAAGAGAGCATCTGGAACAAGCTTGGAATATGGGGAGTATGTGATTACAGCAGCCTTTTACATCATCCAGTGACTAGTGAAATAGATTTGTAAAGGTAACAGCTTTGTGAAATGGGAACTCTAAATATAGTGATTTCCTAGGGAGCAAGCAATCAGTGATGAAGATGAAGAGGAAAGTTTTTCCTGGCTGGAAGAGATGGGTGTGCAAGATAAAATTAAAAAACCAGACACACTCTCTATCAAGCTGTATCCTTTCATTTACTATTAAATAGAATTAACTTTTGTTGAATTAAGTTAGTGAAGAATTTAACATTGGCAGTTTTGTGATTATAATCTTAAATTCCTTTCAGATTAAAACTAAGTCTCCCTTATAACATTAAATAACCAGCCCCTAAGTATCACTAAACCTTGAACTATTATTTTAATGAAAACATTCAACTCTAGTTAGATTTGTGGGAAACTATTAAAATAAGTTTAGTAAATGGTACATTTTTGACTAGAAGAAATATCTTTTGTTAGGGATCATTTTCTGGCAAATTCAGATAGGAAAATATTTTGATTCAAACCCATGCCTTATGACCTCAGACAAAAGCAATAGCTTGAGCATTTATTTCCATTTTATGGAGAAAAAAGGTCCAGTGTGATCCAGGTAACTGCCTTCCACATTAGTGTGTAATTTGCTTTTGCACTTTCCTTGATTGTCATCTTCAGACGGAAAGAGAAACATGAAGTACAAATGGATCATAGACCTGAGTCTGTTGTGTTGGTGAAAGGAATCAACACCTTCACGTTGCTCAATTTTTTGATGAATTGTAAGAGTTTAGTTGCTACCTCAGGTCCACAGGCAGGACTTCCACCAACCATCTTAGCCCCTGTGGCTTTCCGAGGTGCCACAATGCAAATGCTTAAGGTAACAAAGATATTCAATACCTCAGTGGTCTCTACAACCTAGCTTTCAAGTTCTTTTTCTTTCATAGGTTAAATTCTTAAAATTTTTAGAATTCTTAGATTTTTAGAACTTCTTTTAGCATTTAACTTGATACATTTGCTTTCCTCTCTTTAAAAATCTCCACAAAAATTTTTTAAAGACAGTTATTTCAAGAAAATGATTTTTCCAATATTTTGCAGTGACAGTAAATGACTAAATCAAATAAGATGGTATACAAAAAAATTGTGTTAAGTGTAGAGTATACTGTAATTGAAAATCTAATATGGAGGAGAGAGTGCTGGAGACTTTGGAGAATTCACAAAAGTTCTTACTTAACATTGTTTAGAAGTCTTAGAAAAAAATTTTTACACTTGTAAACTTTTTTTTTAATTTATTTTTTTGTACACATGGGGTCTCAATATGTTGCCCAGGTTGGTCTTGAATTTCTAGGCTCGAGTGATCTTCTCAGCTCGGCTTCCCAAAATGCTGGAATTAAAGGCATGCGCCACCATGCCCAGCCAGAAAATACTTTTGTTTACAACTGTTAAAAGAAACCACAAATGGAAATACTGAACCTGTTTTTAGCTAGGGGACAAAAGCTTGAGAGATGGTAACCATAATTGTCATTTTCTTTAAATTTTCATGAAGGCACGAAGTGTAAATGTGAAGACACAAGCTCTTTCTGGATATAAAGCTCAGTTTAGTTTGGAAATCACAGGTCCTGTCATGCCCCATTCTCTACATTCTGTAACCATGCTACTGAGATCTTCACAGAGTGGGGCTTTCTGTGTCGGACTGTATCCACATGAACCAACTGCTGTATTTAATATTTGCCTACCAAAGGACAAAGTACCAGATAAGGTAAGTAGACACCTATAAACTTTCTATTTTAGTTGTAGCTAGTTTCCTCAAATTAGGTGTAGGAAGTAGGTCATTTATGAGTTTTTTTTTTTGTTTTTTTTTTTTTGAGACAGTCTCACTATGTTGCCCTCCGTAGAATGCTATGGCCTCATAGCTCACAGCAACCTCACTTTGGGGCTCAAATGATTCTCCCGCCTCAGCCTCCCAAGCAGCTGGGACCACAGGCACCACAACCTCCAGCAATCTTTTTTGTTGTTGCAATTGTCATTGTTGTCTAGCTGGCTTGGGCCGGGCTCAAACCCACCAGCTTTGGTGTATGTGGCCAGCACCATAACCACTGTTCTGTGGGCGCTGAGCCTATGACTCATTTTTGTTTCAAGTTATAAACTGTTACTACTAAATCACTCACAAATTGCTAAGAGGAAGAAATGTCTATATATGCTGTTTTTGTGAGATAAATTTTATTCAGTCCTTTGTAAGTGACTACAGAACTTCCAACTTAACTTTCATTGTCCCCCTCATCTAAAATATTAATCTACTTAATTGTATTTGCCTTTGGTTTTGAACTTTTTTTTTTTTTGAGACAGAGCCTCAAGCTGTCCCCCTGGGTAGAGTGCTGTGGCATCACAGCTCAAGTAACCTCCAACTCCTGGGCTCAAGCGAGTCTCCTGCCTCAGCCTCCCAAGTAGCTGGGACCACAGGCACCGGCCACATTGCCCAGCTATTTTTTTTTTTTTTTTTTGGTTGCAGCCATCATTGTTATTTGGCGGGCCGGGCTGGATTCTAACCCGCCACCTTAGGTGTATGTGGCTGGTGCCTTAGCCACTTTGAACATAGTTTTTAAAAACTTAGAGGGTCATACTAAAACTGCCTCAAATTAAGACATTTGCTAGACTTGAAAAACATGAATACTTCAGGATTTCATCACTATAAAAATTCTTAAGATCAAGAAGTTCTATTGATAGAATAAGTTACATGAATGAGCCATTTGTCAAAATCTCTCCACAGTAATTATTAAAAACTCAAGTGTCCAAAAACTAATGTGCTTTTTACCAAACAGGAGGCTGTACATAAGGAGCTTGCTAACTGTGGTTTGCACCATAAGACTCTGGAGCAACTTAGTCAAATACCATCACTGGGGAAGTCATCTTTACGGAATGTTGAAATGAGAGACTACGTTTATAATTGGACATCCTGAACACCAAAGTAAGCCTAAAAGGAATCTTTGAGGAAAAAAGCCTTCTAGCAAGGAAATTCAAGATTTTTGAAGTTAAAGGAAGGAATATACTTTAAAATATTGACATGTTTATAAACATTTAACTTTTTCCATTAACTTTTATTACATGCACTGAATAGTAGCATCAAGGTTTTAAATCATTTTCTGCTTTTACTATTTTCAGATTAGATTTTAAGCTATGACAATAACTCACTTTAAAAAAAAAAAAAACCCTCAAGTAACGTGGATAAGAAATCCGTATCCCTACAACCTAATTGTAAACCAAGTAGAAAACTGAATGTGTTATGGGAAATTGAAATTAAACCTGTAGCAATTATCTCATGGCATTGTAACAGCATCAGAGCAACATTATGTTACATTAATATTTACCCAATATTATTAGCAAGTTGTTTTACAAAGGTAGAAAATAAATATAGACACTATCTACTGAGCTGACTGTTGATGCTTCTACCCTAGCATCTTTCCTACTGATTTATGATTCTTCTATTCAAGTATACTTAAATGTCTTTTTTAATGCAGTTAAGGGTATTTTATATTCTACATAGAATAGTGTTAGGGAAGTTATAAAGTTCTGCTTAACTATTACAGTAAAGTAATGTGCTTGTGAGTGCATGCGTGCGTGTGTATAAACCTCAGTATTTTTTTAAATAAAAGTACTTAGAAATCAAAAGTACTGGGTAAAGATATGATAGTACTTAAGTATGTGTTTACTTTATGATTCAGAAAATAAAACAACGCATTTATTCCAGAGAAGTTTGTATTTGGGCCTTAAACTTTTGAAAATAAAGCTTAGAGACATAGCATATGAATACCACTGTAATACACATGAAATATTCTATAAGACCCTAAAAATTAACATAAATTTTCTCATAGTCAACAAAATAGTGGCTGGTTGCCAATTTTATTAGATAAGTTGGTTACAGCATTTTAATTATCATTTTACGTCTATCTAGGTGTAGCTGAAATTCAAAATGCACATCAAAGTAAAACTATATCACAACTCAATGCCATACTAAATGTACTTGGCTTCTGCAGTAGAATTCTAGTCAGACTTCATTTTGACTCCCTTTGACCCAAGTGGCTTTAACAGGAATGCAGGACTGACTGCTGATCATCACACAACATACCACTTTCTTTTTATAACCTCTACAATATTTTAAGGGAAAATGGTGGCATTAGCCCTGTGGAACAGATCTTGCTTGATTACTTCAATAACACTGGCCCAGTATCTGTCCAGCAGAACCCATTGTGAAATAGTACAAGGTGCACAGCCCTTCTCTGATTACAGGCAAGTGTTACAGCAGCCTAGCCATAAGGAAGGGAAGTTACATCATAGTACAAAATACAGTATAAAAGCGTTATTCAACATTCCACACTGAAGATTACTGATGCCTTCAAACAATCGTTTGGATGTTAGCCACTTAAACAAATACATCACTAAGGTAAACAATATAAACATACCAAAACCCTGTATGGTTAAATACAATTTCCATGGTACAAAAATCAAAGCCTGGAGATGTTTGTACAGATTGCTTTTTTACACAATGTCTTAAATTGCCAAATATTTACAACATTAAAGAGGAAATACATTGTGATGCAGAGTAAAATTATCTGAAATGATTATTATAAAACCTCAATCTATCTACGTGAGGCACTCCTGAAGCAAGTGGCATTAGCCATGAGGTCCTTTGGTACAAGGCCCATTGCTTGAAGAACCACAGTAGCTGCTGTGGCTTTAGCATGCTTCTTATTAGGGCTGGCAAAGCTGGGCTGGTAAGCGCTTCCATTTATCAATACCTATTCAAGAAAAACATACAATTGGGCTGGTAAGGGCTTCCATTTCTCAATACCTATTCAAGAAAAACATACAATAAGAACAGCATCAAACTTTAATATCTATTAGGTTTGTATTTTTTCACTAAATGCTAGAAAAATAATTCACAAAAACATAAAACCCATACTATGTCTGTCAAAATACTTTAAACCCAGAAGAAGCAAATCATTTGGGAAATTTAAGAACAGGTATCCAAATTGGAAAAAATAACACCCAATAAAAGTACTGAATAAATCCTCCCACATTCCCCTAGAAAATATCAACAAATTGTGCACCAGATTTTGCCTACATTTTCGTCTAGTTTATTAAAAACAGGACACTCACAGGTCATATTAAAGCACCCTTCAGTGTTTTAAAACCCAACCACTTACCCACACATAACACACCCCCACCCACAAAAAAATCTTAATATTGTGATAATGTTCATCCCTCACCCTCTAACACTATTAAATAAATATATACAATTAATGCAAAAATTATCATATTTACCCTAAAGAGAAAATGTTTGCGATGATCAGGGCCACTATCATGGACCAAGAGAAATTCTGGTGGTTGCCACCTTCTCTTATTACAGATTTCCATCAAGGCAGAAACAGGATGCTTGCCTGCCAGAAAGGAAAAACAAACAAACCTAGTTACACATTATTGTCAACAAATTTACAACAAATTATGAATTCAAGGTGGGGGTGGAACAAGAAAGAATTCAAAAATAGCTCCCACCTGACAGATCTTTCATTGCTGCAGAGAAGTTCCCAGACCTCTTTTGTGCTCTTTCTCCTACTGCAACAAGTCCTAAAAAAAAAAAAAAAAAAGCCCACTGTTCACTAAAAATTTCAAAGCATCATTTAAAATTATAATATAGAAAAGCAAAGACTCCTATAGGACCCTGAATCTAAATCTATGCCTTCAAATAAAACCAATGTATTATTATACTTAATTTCTATATCAATCTTAACTTCTCTTGCTATGTTTCAGTATATAATTTTATACAATTTCTAACACTAAGGCATATGGATAAAAACAGAAAATGGCCACAAAATACACACATACACACATATTCAAATTAAATTCCAGGTAATTATCAACATCTCTGGTCTGTTTCTCTTAAAGCAGTAGCTATTTATTGTAAGTTATTTCTCTTAAAAACTGCTGTTATTGGCTCTGTGCCAGTAGCTCAGTGGGTAGGGCGCTGGGCACATATGCCAGGGCTGGTGGTTTTGAACCCAGCCCAGGCCTGCTAAACAACAAAAAAATAGCTGGGGGCAGCACTACTGCTCAGTGGGTAGAGCACCGGCCCCATATACCGAGGGTGGCAGGTTCAAACCCAACCAAACTTCAACAAAAAATAGCTGGGCATTGCGGCAGGCACCCATAGTCCCAGCCTCAGGAGGTTGAGGCAAGAGAATGGCTTAAGCCTAGGAGTTGGAAGTTGGAAGTTGCTGTGTCCTGTAACACTACAACAAAGGACAACAAAGTGAAACTGTCTCAATAAAAAAAAAAAAAACAGTTATTATGTTCCCAAAAAGGTTAGGATGTAAGCCACCAAGAAAGAGTGAATAAGGCACGTGTCTGCAAGGATAAATGGGTCCTTTTCTCCCCAGCAACAGTCCCTTTATTGACTAATGTGAGATGTTCTCAAAATATAAACATAACTTCTCTACATAACCACCTCCCTCCCACAGGTCTATTTAAAAAAGAACTAACTATATTAGCTCTCAGTTGCTCAAACAAAGTAAAAGAAAAAACATATTCCTAACACAAAATAAAATAAGGCTTTCCCTTTATCCAAAATGCTTGAGATCAGAAGTGTTTGGGACTTTTTCAGGTTTTCAAATGTTTTTATCATACTTACCAGCCAACCATCCCAAGTCAGAAAATCTGAAATCTGATAAGCTCCAATGAACATTTCCTCTAACCCCTATGTCAGCACTCAGAAATATGGGATCTTATACTTCAGATTTCCAGGTTTAGTATGTTCAACCTATATATTATAATTAACTCCTAGGAAATGAGTTCTGTTCTCTTGAGAAGTTCTACCCAGACCATGTTGCACAACTCCAAGGAGAATGATCCCTGGCATTTTGCAGTACATATTTGGTACAGAGACAGTTTTATTTCCCAAAACATTATTCCAAGGGGTGTTATCTGTGGAAACTAAATACAGATAGTTGAACCTCTGTAAGTTGACCACCCAAGGGACTTTAACAAACTGGTCAACATAATGAACTAGCCTACTGTACTGATACATACATGAGGCACATGTCTGGTCTCAAAAAATTAGGTCAATTTAAGGAGGTGCTCAATGGAAGGCAGGTGGCCAACGATGGAGGTTCTACTGTATTTAAATACTTAGCAACCACATATAAGCTACATAGACCCCTTCCTCACTCCCCAATTATCTGAGGACAGTAGGAAACTATACTCAGTGCTGAAAAGTTCCAAAGTGCCCTAACACAAGACAGAAAGAGATAATGTTGGCAGTTGATCTACTCTTCTCCAACCTAACCCAACCTAACTATTGAGCTGGAAAAGAGGGACAAGCAAAAACCTTTATAGAATGAAGACAAAACAGCACTCTAATAGGATATACCGAACATGTGTGAAATTAGCTGACAAAAAAGATATTCTAGAAATTAAGACATGGTCCCTCTCAAGAGAAAACAAAACAGAAATTCTGTTTTCTAAACATGAAATCTAGTTAAACTTATAATCATAATTAGATACATGCATATTTTCTAATACTTAGCAAGTAGCATGACAAAAGCAAGCTTGTGTGTTTAACCCACAGAAATTGGGTTAAAGTTTTTTTCTGACACATAGCTATACATATAAGAAATGACTCCAGTTCAGGATCACTAGGATTAAAAGAATGTATAAAACGAAACCCTAAATGTTAAAAGAGGTATAATAAACATTCCAAAAAAGAACGTGTTACCTTTTCGGTCTGTCTTAAAATCAACTAGGATGGGTTCCTTATTTCCTTCTTTGTTTTTTCCTAATCCTTCTCCTTCTCTCCAGCCCATTTTTCTCATCAAAACGGCTCCCATTCCTCCAGTTACCGGGGCTGCTCTTAAGAACTGATCCTATCCAAGGAAAAGAAAGGTAAAATGTCCCCATTTTATAGTTAGAACTTGACTACAGACTCACTGGTTACTTTCTCAAAAGAGGATTCTTATTTTATACTTTTATATCTGTTACAGTTATAGTAATTAAATGCAAATGCTTCTATACTTAATAGTGTAGTGTGTATGTTCTAATTATTTTCACATTAACATAATGTTACTTTGACAGTCAAATAAGGCAAGTAAATAAATGGCAGTCTTCAAAATTAAAACAGTAGCCCTCATGCCCCCCTCCAAAAAAAAAAAAAATTTAGAACACTCCTGTTTTCGTCCACTATTTAGGTTCACTGGTATCTCTTCTTAGCTTGCAAAATAAAAAGAAGGCAATGTTAAAACAGTCAATAATATTAATTGTCCCAGGTGTACCTAGTTTGTGAATAAAGCCCAGAAAGCATTTAGAAATAAATAAGTTTGGACACTGAAGAAGCATACTGTTGTCATCCAAAGTTTTCTTCCCCATTCTACTATAAAGCAAGTGTAAATATTTTACTTAGAAAATCCCTATGAAGCAAGAAGATAACTCTAAATTTATGCAGTAATAAATAGAAGATAATCACATAAAATGCCCTGTAAGTACACCAAAATGAATTTGAATTCCTTTAAAACCTAGCTTGATGTTAAAAGACTTAAAAAACTCCTTAAATGTTTACATACCTAGGCCTCGGTAGCAGCAGTGTTGTGAATAGTACGGCTGGCACTGACCGGGGCAAGAAGACAGCTACAAGGATTTGGCCCTGAAACAAGTTTCCATACAGAGGGGTGAAAGTTCACAGGTTATTCTGTGAACAATCATCTCTCTTGTATCCAACCCACTGAACCATAATTTCCATCAAAGCAGCAAACCACTTAATGTCCTAAGATGCACAACTATATATATATATATATACACATTAGCATGGTCAACAGTCTTATTTTCACACTGAGAAACATATAATGCCTCTTTTTAAAGGGCATCTATGTACATATAACAGTATTGAATTCCACTGTTGATCTTTAAGGGCATTTTTTAAAAATTTTAAAACATTAACTCCAAGTTATGATTTCCCCCTTGGCTATTGAATTTTAGGTTTATGTTTGCAAATATATAGCAAAAGTCATTAACTTATCAAGAGAGGGAGTTAAAACGTCTGATAGCTAAGCAAATAGTATGCATTATAATTTCCTATATTGATAAGTTAATATTAAATGTAAAAAATCCCGTTGTACACACTAATAAAACTGCATAATCTCATTTGTTTCCCAGCTTTATAATTAAATGCTAGGGAGAAAACATGCCAATGATGTGTGACTAGACATTAAGTTCATCAAGGTGCTCTGATGGAAGGAGGCAACTGTGGAGGTAAAAACATACCCCTGGTTCAGTTCCTTATTTGGTGCAGGCCATGCAGAGTAGATGTATAAAGAGAAAAGTTAGCTGATGCTTGGATATCAACTGCCTTGATGCTACACACCTAGAATGACTTTTACTTACTTCCAGGTTCATCCGCCCCTCCTTTCCAAGGAACACTCCTAAAAAAAAGGGCAACTGTGCAGAGTGCAATATGAAACCCCAAATAACCCAGGTTTCCAATTTTGTTTCCATTCTCTAATATCTAAATCTGTTCCTCTACCC